AAAAAGTTAGTTGAAGAACACCCGTCCACCCCAGAAAAACAAACTAAAGTGAAAACGGCTAGAAGCATGGACTCAGATACATTTAAGTTTGACTCAAATGAATTTATTGCTGAGTTTTGAAGGTAAGAATAGTTCTCAGAATTAGAGGGTTGGAGGATTAGAACTCAGAGATCAACTGAGCCATTGCTGAGATTTCTCATCTACCTTCATGATTCTTTGTGTCCTTAAAATAAAGTTCTACTATTGCATATATATATATGCATATATAAATGCATGTACATATATACATATATACATACATGCATATATATATACTTTTCCCAATATTGTGAATCATGCCTGCAATCCCAGATACTTGGGAAGCAGAGGCAGGAGGATTTATAGTTTGAGGCCAGCCCTGGCAAAATTAGCAAGACCTTATCTCAAAAACAAACAATAGAAAAAGGATTGGGGATATGTAGGCAAGTGTGAGGTCCTGGGTACAATCTCCAGTACTGAGAGAGAGAGAAAAGGAGGAAAGGAGGGAGGGAAGAAGGACGAAGGAAGGAAGGAAAGAAGGAAGGAAGGAAAGAAATCTTACATATAGGATAGGAATTCCTGAGTACTAGGATTTGGGATAATTTTTCCTCTTCTCAAGTTTTCTAAATTTTTAAAGATTCATTTTATTTTGTAATAAGGGAAAACATTGACAGCTAATTTAAAGAATTTAATTTTAGTCCTAAGAGGATAGAAAACTTTCATGTTACCTTGAAGAAAACTATGACAAATTGTCCTCCTTTACTCATAACATCCAAGAGATAGCGTTCAACAAGGTAGAAGAAATGGAGACTTTGGCCCTTCTTTAATGATCTCTCACATACACATGTGACAAGTAATGAATCTCCATCAATCAGAAAAAATTCAGATTCAACAAAATCATTGAATATGCTGGAATAGCTAAAACAAAAAACAGAGAGTTAAAATGAAAATCACATTTGTCCCAAAAACCTGTAACATTACAATTATTGTATTATCATTAACAACTGAATTTGCAGAATTGTTACATTAAGCAAATATATATGCTATATACTATAGTTATATATAGTATAACTATATAGCTACATATAGTATATACTACATACTATATACTATATGCTATATACTATATACACTGGTATAATGGACATGTAGTATACATAGATGCATACATGTGCACACTGAGATAGATATGATTAGATGTACCAATTTAAGGCCAAACAGATACTCAGGTAGACAGGAAATAGCTCTTTATTACAAAAAATACTCACTCAGCTCTTGACATTTCATTCAAAATTATAAATGACATTCTCTTTAATAACTGTTCATGTGTTTCTAAAAAGAAAACGAGAGTGGATTATTCTTAGTTAATCCTTTTTAAGGGACCTCATATTTGAGAAGTAAGAAATAGTAATATAGTTATTTTAATTCTTCAAATTGTGAAGCTCTTATTTTATAATTCTATTAATATTTTAAATTGAAAATTACCCATTCTTGCTGCTACCTGTGCTCTCAACCTGAGCTGGCAAATTTTTAAATAGAAAATATTCTTTATTCTGGTTCTTCTAAATGGTGGTTATTAATGAAAATGGCAAACCTGCAAAGAAAGAGAAAAAATAAAGTCTTATTCTGTCCACAAGTATGTACTGAAAGACTATTATATGTGAAGCTAAATATTAGGCACCACGAATACAAGAAGGAGAAAGTCAGCATGGGGTTAGTTTTCAAAGAGCTTAAAATTTATTTGGAAAGAAAATTATGAGTCATAAAATCATATAAACACTTGAAAATAGAAAATGTGACAAAAATCAAAAAGGTTAGAGGGGCTTCCATAAAGAAACAATGCTTGAGATAAGTTCTGAAGGAATAAACCAAAATTAATTCCTCAAAAAGGGGGAGAGCAGCATTCCAGGCAGAAGGAACACCAGAGTTTCACCAGTAGGCTGGAGTGGAAAAAGGGAGGGACTGGCAGCATGCTAGAAAGCACTAGTGAAATATGAAAGCAGACAGAGTTTTGGAAGGTGTTACAAAATTTTCTTTCCATTCTAGCATCAAAAATTAAGCAGGTGGTATTGCTATGGCTTTGCATTTTGAAAAGATTATCCCAGCTACATTTCAAGGAATGAACAAGAGGGGATCAAAGTTCTTGTTAGTAGAACAGAGAAAAAAACTACTTTTCTAGAGATTAAAGATGACAGTTTGATGTAATTATAGTTTGATGGGGGCTTGAGCTAATAAAGTATTTTTTTCTTTGAAGAACATGTAGAAGTTGACTTTGATGTAATTTGGTAATGGATCAGATAGGATAAAGAAGATTGGAAAAGGGATTTGTCAAGGATGACTCTTAGGAGTCTAGATAAATGTAAAGGTTGAAGATTAGGCCATTGTCTGGTTCAGGAATCTTAGAATGAACACACATGTCAGGAAAAGATCATGAGTTCATTTGGGAACAACCTAAATTTGACAAGTTTTCAAGGTTTACCATAGGCTAAGTCATTAAATATATAAATCTAGAGATCAGACACAGTGTCTGAGCTGAATCTAAATGTGTGAGGCCAGAATGGGAGAAAATCTTTGCCATAAAGGAAATGCAAATCAAAACCACATTAAGATTCCACCTCACTCCTGTTAGAATGACTATCATCAAGAACACAAACAATAACAATGTAGACAAGGATATGGGAAAGGAACCTTCATACACTGCTGGTGGGAATGTAAATTAGTACGACCACTATGGAAAACAATATGGAGCTCCTCACAAAACCAAAACCAGAACTGCCATCTGATCCAGCAATACCACTCATAGGGATATACTTAAAGGAATATAAGTAAGGTTACAATAAAGGCACCTGCACACCCATGAGTGTTGCAGCATTATTCACAATAGCTAAGCTATGGAAACAGCCAAGATATAAATGGATTAAGAAAATGTGGTATTAAAATGCAATGGAATTTTATTCAGCCATAAAGAATTAAATTTTGTCATTTGCAGGTAAATGGATGGAACTGAAGAACATCATTTTCAGTGAAGTTAGCCAGGTTCAGAAGGCTAAAGGTCACATTTTCTCTCATATATGGAATATAGACTTAATACAAATACAAACAATATTATATATTCATACAAAAATATATACAGAACATGTACCCAAAAGTGGAACTAGTACAGAAGACCAGGAGATGAGGAAAGAAAGATGGTGAATAATGATGAACTACATCACAACTGCAAAGCAACAAGACATAAAGAAATACACTGAAAACTGATAAACAACACAGAATAGGTGGGAAAGGGTGAGGAAGTACATTGACTTAAACACAATGCATTTTCGGGTATAATACCAAGGCAGAAATCCACTAAACAACAAACAAACACCTAAACAATGAAGGACAAGAATGACAAGAATGAAAAACAGGTCACACTATGGGGAGGTAACAAATGGGAGGGGAAGAATAAAAGACTAAAGAAAGTAAACATGATTGATATACTTCCTATACAAGAATGAGTATAGAATATTTAAACCTGTTGAAATTACCAGAAGAAGGGGACTAAGGTAGAAAGGTGAAAAATGGAGGGGATGAACCAATTCAGGATATTGTGTGTGTGTGTGTGTGTGTGTGTGTGTGTGTGTGTGTGTGTGCGTAAATGTCATGATGAAGCTCCTGTATAGCTATCTTTAACAAACAAAAATTTCTTTTCAAAAACAGAGAACAGGAATGTAAATCAGTTCTTGTCTAGGAGTTGGTACAATTGGGAGGGAGGAAGATATAAAGAAGGAGTAAAGAAGGTGTAAATATTGTACACTCATGTATGAAAATTAACAACTGAGATCTGTTGAAACTATTCTATGTGGAGGAAGGGAGGATTAAATGAAAATGATGGGCAAGATGAATATAATATATATTGCGAGCACTTTTGTGACTGACACAATGTACCCTCTGTACCACAAAAATATGGTGATAAAAAGAAAATAATAAATAAATAAATGTGTGAGTCATTTGAATACTCATGGTAAAGAGGCCACTGGAACAGATGAGCTTGCTTGGACAGGGAGACATGAACAAGGACATGGAGGAACAGAGTGGGACCAAAAGGCCAATTTTCAGAGTTACTAATAATTAACAGCAGGAAAGAGGAAGATGAGTCTGACAAGATAACTGAGAAGGAGCTACCAAATAAGCAGAAGAAAAACACACTTGAGCATTTTGTCATGGAAAGCAAACACTAAGACAGTTGCCATACATGTGCCAGGACTGTCAAATATCAAATAAATTGGACGGATGGATGGACAGATATACATAGATAATCAGGTACATGGGAGACAGATGATTATGAAGATACGTAGATGATAGATAGATGATGGATAGATAGAAAGATGATAGATGATAGATAGATACATAGATAGATAGATAAATGATGGATAGATAGATGATAGATTTCTGTTCTACGATATTAGCAAGTACATTGCACGTTCCTATAATCCCATCTACTCAGCAGGTAGAGACAGTATAGTAATTTGAGCCCAGTCCAGGCAAAAGTTAGTGGGACCATATCTCAAAAATGCCCCAGTGGCTCACACCTGTAATCCTAGCTATTCAGGAGACAGAGATCAGGAGGATCATGGTTTGATCCCAGCCCAGGCAAATAGTTCCATGAGACCCTATCTCGAAAAAACCTTCAATGGATCAATGTGAAGGCCATGAGTTCAAGCCCCAGTACCGCAAAAAAAAAAAAAAAAAAAAAAACAAGCCAGGCATAGTGGCACATGCCTGTGGTCTTAGCTACTCAAGAGGCAGAACTAGGAGGATCATGGTTCAATTCCAGCCCAAGCAAAGTTAGTGCAAACTCTATCTGAAAAACCAAGTAAAAGCAAAAGGACTAGAGGTGTTGCTCAAGTGATAGAGTGCTCAAGCACGAGACCTGAGTTCAATCCCCATTGCCTTCCTGCAAAAATGGTGATTTACACACTGAAAATAAGTATTAGAATGATAAAGAAAATGTGTGACTATGAGAATAAATAAGCTGGGAGCCAGCGGCTCACACCTGTAATCCTAGGTACATGGGAGGCTGAGATTGGGAGAATTGAGGTTAGAGGTCAGCTCAAAGAGTTCACAAGACCTCATTTCCAAAATAACCAGAGCAAAATGGACTGAAGTTGTGGTTCAAGTGGTAGAGATTCTGGTTTGCAACTGCAAAGCCCTGAGTTCAAATCCCAGTCCCACCAAAAAAAAGTAAGTCTGAAGAAAGAAATCTTTGTGGGCCAGGATGTTTAGCAAACACATGGAAGCAGAAGCATCAGCATGGCCTCTCACTAGCTCAGTTGTCCTGTCTTTTTCAGTGCTGCTCTTCACCAAGCATTGTGCAAGTATACATGAAGCATGGCCTCATATACCCTGGTGAGGGTTTCAATTGATAAAGTCAAGCATTGCAGTATAATGTGCTGAGTGTGCAATGACAATAGCACAGGAAACCAGCAGAGAATCAAGGAGGAGTTCTTCAGTCCAGCAGGGAGGATCAGAGCACAGTGTTTGGAGATTTCAAGGGCAAGTTGAAAAGATGAAGAATTTTGGAAGCATGTTTGGGAATGTAAGAAGTATACAGGATGGTACTCCAGGAAGCAAAATCTGCACCAGTTTAATGAACAGAGATATGACTAACATGACAAATTCAAGATTCTGCAGGTCATTCTACTGACTGGAGATGAGGGTGGAACCGGAGGTGTGGATCAGATGATATAGAATCTTGGTAAGACATTTAGAGCTTGTCTCCCATCACTGACTTTCTAGCAAGAGATGCTTTCTTTAAATTTCTCTCTACTTTATCCTATTAAACTAAACTAAATCCTTGCTAAAACTTCAAAAAAGAGCAAATTAACCCTGAGTATGGTACAGAAAAAAGAAGATCTTCAGAAAGGATATTGTTCAATTCCATTACATAAATTAATTCAGAGGTTCCCAGACATTCATAATGACCTTTATGTGTCTAGATTTTTTTAATGGAAGGGAATGACAAAATAAATGCCTGACCATTTCATTTGTTAGATAGTTCACTTCAAACAACTTAGTATTTATGTCTTAACAACTCAAAAATTGTTTGAAGAAATAATATACACAATTAAAAGAAATAATACAGTTTTCTTAATTAAATAAACATAACTACTAAGGATATGTGGCTACCTGTTAAGCCCAGTACTATTTTCTTTTTTTTTTTTCACTTGACAATTAATTAAGCAAACTTTTATTGAAGCTTACATTGTGGTACAGAAGTACATTTCAACTGATTAAAGTCCAACACCAACGAAGAGAGAAATTATGGCACCAAAATTTTCCCTCCTCTAAAACACACTAGGGATAGATTACTATTCAATCTACAGTTCTCATTTTTTCTAGGCTTTTTCTCCACACATACTTGTGCAAGTTTTTAACATTAGAATTCTTAATTCTATTAGAAAAAAAAATCAGACCTCAAGCCAACAAAATGTCATCAAATCTACTGGGATGCTGTTCAAGAACAAAATCCACCTTGAGAATTGATCCTCTCAACACAAGTCAAAACACTAGGGGCTGTGCTCATTACAGAATCAAATTGGTAAGGTTGATTGAAAGCTTCCTTAAACATTTGATCAACAGCATGCTAAAACAGAAGTCAAAACAGTGTTCCAACCACTTGATTTCAAACCAAGTAGATTTTGTTTAGAAACACTAAAAAAAGGTGTTTCATTTATATATACGGAAGGAATAAGACATCACTGCATCAATCCAGAAATCAATATTGTGAGGACAATACAAAACTTAGCAAACTTTGTTCTTCTCAGTTGCTTAAATGCCACAGTATTTGTAGACATAGCTTAAAAAATTAAAAAAGCCAACTCTTGAAAGCATTTTTTCTAGTCATTTCCTGTTTAATATTTTTGAAATTCTGTATTTCATATATTCTGCTACACAGCTATCTGAATGACCTGGACAGTTATTTATTTGATCCTGTGAATGCCATGATAAAAGAAAGACCATACAGGAACAGAATTTACATGCATCAAAAAATCACAAAACTAAGTCACAAGATGGAAAAGCCACTGATTCTGCTTTGAACCATTAATGGAAATTAGTGGTAATGGCTGCTAAAAGTATTAGTTTAGGTGAATGATCTAAGCTGCCTGGACTTACTGAATCCAGGACAACCTTTATGATAAATTTTCTCTGTTCAATACTGATGAAAATCCTTTTATACCACTTCTTAGCAAGTTAGTAAAGGCATGGTGCTCCATTCGAAGAGTACCACATAGCTGATGGTTTCCATAGAGTTCTCGATGTACAATTCTCTTTAGGTCCACCCCGCTAATCAACACTGGACAAGTTTCAAAAAAAATTTTTTGGATACATTCAATTTTGTCGCTCATCTTCCAACACAAGCCATGGCCAGTGAAAAGGAGGTAATAATTTTATGCTGTTGAAAGAAAACTAAGCCCAGGAACCATCCCTCCCACTACTCCTATCTGGGCTATAAGATGAGTATATAAACCCACAGTGTTACAGTGTATTGCTTTATTTGGGGGGCTGGGAGAAGACACCATGGTGAGGGAAGAAACCAATTTAAAGACTACAAATGCAAGAACAATTATTAAAATAGTAATACACGAATGACTAACTGGAATAATCTTAAAGAGGATCCAACTTGTGAAAGAGAAACTTTAATTGCTGTTGCAAAAAACATCTATATGAAGTAGAAATTGGCTTCAATAACATTAGTAGAGAACATGTTGTAAAAAGTGGAGGTAACTGGATGCAAAATTTTGGCAGCAATTTAATAGAACCGTCCCAGATGGTTAGGCTGAGGCCAACACCTAATGAGGACGAAAGCCACAATTGTCTGTGGGGAATTTTGGATGATACCTGAGAAATATTATATATTATACTAGCACAGTACTATTTTCAACACTAGCCATAGGACAGAATAAAACCCTCCATAATTTGGCAATGAAGGAATTACACAGCCTGTCTACCTATCTCTCAAATACCCTATAAGAAAACCTCTCTACTAAACCATATGCCAAACACATACATGCCTTAACACTTAAATGGTTTGCTATCCTTATATCTTCTCTCTCATTTAAAAAACATTGCCACAGAAAATGTAACCCACTGCCTGAGTATCTGTCTTAACTGCTAAATGAACACCACACACACACACAAGTCTCAGATATCTGAGATTCAAAAAAAAAAATTAAATGGAAAATAAGAAGCCAAATGGAGAAACAAGATTCTGGAATAGAACAAATCTTGAAAAACTCTCTATACAAGAAATGATTATAGAATTTTTAAACCTGTTGAAACCATCATAAGAACTGAGACTAAGGTAGAAAGAGAAAAAATACAGGAGATGAACCAATTTGGCTATAATATATATACACATTGAAGTATCACAAGGAAACTACCTGTGTAACTATCTTAAACAAGCAAAAAAGTAATTTTTGTTTTTTTACAAAATCGGAGAACAGGAGGGCAGAACAGGTGTCTGTGGAGGGGGGTTTATGACAGTGGGAGGGGGAAAGAGGTAGGAAAAGGGTGTGGGAAGGGGAATATAGTGCAAATACTGTGTACCTATGTTTGTAAATGGAAAAAATGATGCCTGTTGAAACTATTCCAGGAATGGGAGGAGGGGGAATAAAGGAGAATGATGAATGATGGAGGGTGAATTCAAGTATGATATATTTGATATATTGTAAGAACTTTTAAAATGCCACAATGTACCATCACCTACCACAACAATAAAAAAAAGAAGCTTTTGAATAAGGAACAGATTTAAATAACAAGTAAAAAGAAAAGCCATAAACATCAGGGCCCAGCCCAATGGAAAAAAGTGTAATTAGTATCCTCAAAGCATCAAAAATATTATCAAATAAAATAATAATAATAATAATGGATGTCTATTACAAAGAGAAAGTAAAAGCAAGTGCTCATAAAAGTTAAAAACCTGACTTCAGGAAGAAATCATGTGGAGCCAAGCACAGTGACAAACAAACATCTGAAATTCCAACTAAATAGGAAGCTGAGGAAGGAGGACTGAAAGTTCATGACCAACCTGGGCAACTTACTAAGACCCCTATTTCAAAAAAAATTTTTCAAAAGAGCTGGGAATATAGCTTAGTGGTAGAGCACTTGCCTAACATGTGCAAGGCCCTGGGTTTGATTCCCAAGACAACACACACACACACACACACACACACACACACACACTACACAGAATGATAAAACAGATCTCAAGTTAGTGATCTGGGAGTCTAGGAAATTTTTTGCAGGAAGTAAATTCAAACAGATGAAAAATAGAAAAAAACACTGAGAAAATAGATGCTAGACAAAAAGGCCTAAATCCATCTAATAGTAATTCTAGTAGATGAGAACTAAAATTCTAAAATGAATAGGGATAAAATTAATCAAAGATGTATTTTCAAAGCAAAAACCAGTAAAGGTGATATAAGACTAGAGCTAAAGAAAAAAACACACACATTTAAATTGAAAAGTTACACCATGTACTGGGCAGAGAAAAACAGCACACACAAAACAAAACAGGCACAGCTTCTTAAAAGTGCAGCGTTCCAAGAATAAAGAGAAACATTGATAGGCTACTAGGAAGAAACAGAAGTCAGAGAGGTCATGTGTGAGGTACATAAAGGCATGTGTACTGTTGAATAGACTGTCTGGGTTCTTTATCTTGGTTCTTAAACATGCATATAGTTCTAAAAGTTTAGGCAACTTACTGATTTTCTCTAGGTCTGAAGCTATGTATAAACTGATGAATACAACTTGCTTAAAATAGTGCCTATTATGCAGTCCAGAAGAATTAAAATAAGCAATACTGCTGGATATTTTGATGAAAGAAAATATTTTCAAATTTCTATGAATAAAATATTTTGAAACTAGAATTCTGTATTCAAACAGGTACTCAACTTATTGAGAAAGCAAAAAGATGTAACAAGGCACTAAGAAGTTCAAAATTAGCCAGCCACCAGTGGTTCACGCCTGTAATCCTAGCTACTTCCCAGGCTGAGATCCTGAAGATGGAGGCTCAAGGCTAGCATATGCAAATAGTCTGCAAGACTCCTCCGAAACAACCATAGCAAAATAGACTGGAGGTGTGGCTCAAGCAGTAGAGAGACTGCTTTGGAAGTGCAAAGTCCTGAGTTCAAAACCCATTCCCACCAAACCAAACAAACACAGAAAAAGTCAGAAATTTCACCTACTTTATCTTAAATGAAAATTTTATTTAAAGAAAGTATACAAAATGGGGAAGTGAGGATAATCAGGAGACAGAGAAACTTTGTAATCCAGAAGACTAAAAGGAAACTATAAAGAAAAGAGAATTCACAACAGTTTAAATTTAGAAAAATCCATTTCAAATAGTACTCTCGATACAGAACTACATTTCACAAAAACGGAGAACAGGAAGGCAAAATAGGTCCTGTCTGAGGGGTGGGTACCAGAGGGAGAGGGGAGGATATAAGGAAAGGTTGTAGGAGGGTGAATATGCTGGAACTATTATCTACACATATGTAAATAGAAAAATGAGACCTATTGAAACTATTCCAGGAATGGAGGTGGGGGGGGGTTATAAAGGAGAATGATGGAGTGAATTCAACTACTGTATATTGTAAATTCTTGTGTAAATGTCACAATGTATCCCCAGCACAACAGTAATAAAAAAGAAAGTTAATTTCCTAATACCTTAAAAAAAAAAACTACATTCCACAGCCAAACATAGGTTATAGTGAATAATATATATATATAAAACCAGAATTTTGTAACTTCTATTTGCTGATTTTCCACATTTGACTCAATATAGAAACAAATTGCAAGAATTAATGTCACAAAATACTGGAAAACATGATATGTCTCAAAGATATAAAAATAATAACAAAATGGGGAAAGTCCCTTTCTTGTCCCTTGAAGAAGACCCCTGGAGTGGCTGAATATATTTCCCCTCCTTCACGGTAGTCCCTTCCCTCTGCCTCTCCGCGATCCAGGCCTCCAGATCGAGAGTCAGTGAGCAGCAGCCGCCTCCATCGTCACCCAGGTGTGCGTCCCCAGCTCCTGCTCCTGCGCCTACTCCCACCCGCTTCCAGGACACCTTCCCCGCGGATCCATCTAGACGTGGGCATTCGCGCTCCCGGGGACAGCTCCGCTGTAGCCTGTGCCTGGGAACACCTCTCACCTGGACACCCCAAAGCCCCACGCTGACGCTGAAGAACCTCCCTGTCCCCACCCCGCACCCCAGGCCCCATCCCGGACCTGCTGCAGCCAAAGAGCTGTTGGGCTGCACCTGCCGCGCACAAAGCCGAGCGAGCGCGGAGCTCCCGGGGACCTGGACCACAGAGCGGGACCGGCGCTCCCTGTCATCCCAGCCAGGCTTTTATACCGAGCGAACGGGTTTCGGTTTCCTTTTCCGTGGAAGCACTTAAGTTTCAGTTTCTTTTCATCATGGGTGAGGCCGTCTTGGGAAAAGGAGCTTTGAGCGTGCATCCTCCTCTTTAGTCAGAAGCTTTATGTAGAAAAGGCAAAGTGAATACTACAGAGAAATATATGGAATTCTAAGAAGGATGGGGGTGGGGAAGCCGTGGCTTTGGGTAATCAGGGTGACTATAAGAAGCCAGGGACTGTTTTGTCTGCAAAGAAAGAGCAGAGCCAGGGGACCACAGAGACAAGAGAGATGTTGAATGATACCGTTTTGAGCCAGAAATTGAAGAAGCAACTTGATGAAGAGCAAGGTGTGGTTGGGGAGGAGGGCATTTCTCACATCCGTCAGGCATTTGTGTATTGTTTGTTTGGAAATTCGTGATGTGTTTATGAATAATAATATTGAGAAAGAAAATAAAAGAACCTGAATTTTTTTCTTTTATTTATCATATTACTGTTGTACTGGGGGTACATTGTGACATTTACAAATATTCTTACAATATATCCTAGTCTAATTCACCCCCCCATCGTTCTCCTTTATCCCTCTTCCCACTACTCCTTGAATAGTTTCAACATGTCTCATTTTTCCATTTTCATACATGTGTACATAATATTTCTACAATATTCAGCCTCCTTCACCCTTTCCTTATATCCACTTTCCTCCCACTGGTACCAGCCTCCCAAACAGGACCTGTTTTACCTTCCTGTTCCCCATTTTTGAAAAAAAAATGTGTTTTTGTGTGTTTAAGATAGTTCTACATACAGTTTCCTTGTGACATTTCCAGGTGTATATGTATCATAACTCAAATTAACTCATGCCCTCTATTTTCCTCCTTTCTACCTCAGTACCTTCTTACGGTGACTTCAACAGGTTTAAAAATTCTCTATTCATTCTTGTATAGAAAGTACATCATCCATATTAACCTTCTTAACTTCCTTCTTTTACCCTCCCTTTTCTGTAACCTGTTTTTCTTAATATTGCTTACATTTATATTGTGTCTGTCTCCCACATGCAAGAGGAAACATGCTGCCAGGTTCATGCTGTCTTTATTGCTGTGACTCTGTCATATAGTTTGAAGGTGGGCATTTCTCTTTTTGCTGAGTATTGCCTTGGTTATTCTCAGTCTTTTGTGCTTCAAATGAACTTTAGGTTGATTTTTCAATCTTTGTGATGAATGTCATTGGGATTTTTATGGGGATTGCATTGAACATGAAAGACCTCTACAATGAAAACTATAAACCAATGAAGAAAGAATCTGAATTTTAACATACTATTTGTCATAAACCAGCCTGTATCAGAATCCACCCTTTCTAATATCTCTAATGTGGTAGGCTGAATGATGCCCTTCCCTCTTCCTTCTAGCTAGGGTAAATGTCCTAACTCCCTATGGACATGTGAACTTAGCCAGCAACAGGTGCTTTGCAAAACAGAATAAGGATCTTGAGATAAGAGGTTTAAATTCTGTATTATCCATGTGGACTCCAATAATCACAAGGGCCCTTTTATGAGGAAAGCAGCAGCCAGGAGAGGTACTGCGAGGACAGAAGTAGAGTAAACCACTGACTGTGAAGACTGAGTGAGACCCACAAGCCAAGAAATCTGATGGTCTCCAGAAATTGGCAAAAACATGGACACACATTCTTTTCTAGAGCTTATAGAAACAACCCTTATGACATCTTAACTTGAGCCCAGCAAAACTGACCTCCAGAACTGTACAGGAATAAACTTGTATGTTTGCAAGCCACTAACTTTGTGATGATTTGTTCCATAAGCTCACTATTGTAAGCTGATATAGCAGGAAATTAATAACATATCTGCTGGTAGGAAAAATAATGAATTGTGTTACAAGAAGTAGCATTACTTCAAGAGGCTACTGTGGCCTCGTGATATGGTAATATTCTCATCTTAATTCTTACAGAAATTTCATGAGATGTGTACTATTATACTTGTCATTTTATAGGTAATACAAAAAAAAGGATTAAGGTGATGGTACAGCCAGTAAACTGTGCCAAGATTCAAAGTTTACAATGTTCTCTATTTCATAATCTCTGATTAATGCTTCAAATCCTGTAGCTGAAATTCTTTCAGCTAACAAGCTTTCACTTTCTTTTTTGGTTAAATTGTAATGTGTTTAGCATGCATGATTTTCTGTGGTTGTTTTGACTTTCAATAACTTCAGATTTGTCAGGTGGGAACTTGATACACCTTGATACATCATCTTCAACTCTTCAGTTTTCCACCCAGTCTCAGTCTGCTTTTCTCTACTGTAACTGCAGACCACATACTGGTTGTTAATAAAGAAACAAAACTTAATTCTCTAGTACAGTTTGGAAGCCAATATCTGACAACAAGGCCTTCTTGCTACATCATTCCATGATGGAAGGCAAGAGAGGGAAAGAGGAAGGCAAGAGATTCAGTTCACAGCCTCAAGTTCTCTAATTGGTGTTAAAGCACTCGTGAGGCTGGAGTCCTTATGACCTAAACACTTCCCAATAAATCCCACCTTCCAACATCGTTGCATCGGGGGTTAAGTTTCCAACATATGAATCTGGGGAACAGTCAACCCATCGCACACACAAAAGTATGCACACATACAAAGAAACTCAAGGCTAAGTTTCTTTTCAACCTAAGCCATGTACTCCCATGACAATGCCTTGAACTCTGTCCAGAATCTTCATAATCACATGCTCCATTTCACCTTTCCGACCTCTCCCTTCACACCCTGCCCTTTAGCCTCCTAGGACTTCTGAATGTTTGTCTTGTCAAAGAGAAGTCCATGAGCTAACACTTTAAATATCCTGCAATTAACATCGTCAACTGCTGGAAGCCTCTGCCTATGGGCAATTTAACTTTTCTTTTTCAAACTTGGATACTGAGGGGAATGCCCCAATTTGTATTCCATCAAATTGATTGCTCACAGACATCATGAGCAAGTGGGCAGAGAAGGTCACAGGCTTGGGGTCTGCAAAAACCTCTGTGTCCAAGAGAGCCCAGTATGTGGCCAGTGGATGCTGCTCAGTGATGTATAGGATGGGGGAAGAAGGGCAGCATTTTACGTCAGAAGTCCATAGGCAATAGGCAAGTATGGAGACATCATGAGGCATGACAGGAGGTTGTTAAGGCTCTTCAGAGGAGCAGTCTCTGAGGTCATTAACTGGATGGAGTGCTTGCTGCCTTCAATTTGGACAGATGTCAAAACACATTTTGGGAGGGAGTCCCCCATTTAAGATGAGCTGATTTACAACAAAGAGCATCAATAAAGCAATATTTGTAAATACAGAATAGGATGTATCCAGAATCCAAAGGACTAAAAGGTGCTGGACTTGTCACATTGTGGGTGCTAAGAGGGACAATAGCTATGTCTTGACAGCATGAGAGATGGAGGAGCCCTCAGTTCTCCAAGCAATTTTCAGGAATTTAACCAGGATACCAGCACTTGTATGTACATGAGGAACAATGGCCTTTGACAAGGGTGTTCGTGAATATGTGTGTGTTCAGGACCAGTGGTTCAAATGAATCTTCTTAGAAGAGGATGTCTTTGGCGCAATGCCATATGTGTACTCCTGGAGAAAGGTGAGTATAAGATTTTGCCTATAGCAATTATGTGTGATGGTAAGGCTACCGATGAATCCCTGGGTAACTTGGTAGAGAAAAGTGAAGACAGCGTATAACTGAGAGGCTGTTGAGATAGGCACTGAACAGAATATGGTAACCAAATCTGTAACAGCAAATTATTTACCAGTTTCTTTCTGATTGGACAGAAGCAGTACTTTTACAATATTGAGCATTAGGTATGAGGACTTAACAGAACCCACCACCAAGGTGGTGGTAATCCACTGTGAGGAGCCATTCCTTCTTTTCCAGCTTCATAACATGCCAGGTTGGACAGTTCAGCAGTGAGGATAATCACCTCTACATTCATTAGGTGTGTGTGAAAAGCTGAGTTCAGCAATTTAATGCTAAATTGTTTTGCTCTTTGCTTTTTTCTCTGATTCTGATGTGACTGTTGCTTCAGGAGCTCATCTAGCATGTAGTTTTGTAAGGAAATTGGATACTACTTAATTCTCCAGCTGTGATAAAGTTTTAAAAAAGCCAAGATAGTTGCATGCCTGGTTAAAATTATGGTGAAACATTTTTTACTTCAAAGAGAGTACATCCTCTACTAAATTTGTTTAGGTTTATTTGGTGTAATCATACCTCCAATATTAAATTTAAAAATCAGAAATAAATCTATGGTCATAATAAATTCATATGTGTATCCAAGGAAAAGCTATTACGTCAACAGTACTTTATCTCTTTATTCTACAGAAGCAAATAAAATGTTCCCTTGTTTAAGAAGCAATGCATTCAACAAAGCCACAGAGGCAGGTGTAAAACTAAAACAAGCACACTGGGTCTGTGATGTTTCTGCCACAGTCTTTTAGACAGACAGCTGTTCATCAGTAATTGAGAGGAAACACTGGAAGTTAAAGATATGCTGGTCCTGTGGAAAATCCTTCCCAAAATAGTTTTGAGCAAATTGCTAGGCCAACAAAGTAGTGATGGGCGGACCTCAGGACTGTACATGGCACAGCAAGTGTCTTCAATGAATGGTTTGCATTTTTTAAATATTTAAATATTTGATCCAACAGCTGATTTCCTCCTTTGTCATGTTCTTCCCTTCTGTTTTCCCAAGGAGTGATGGTCACATCTTTCCATAATGGGCTTCTTTGGGAAGCAGCTTCTGAAATGATCACACAGCTGTTTGCAATTGTCTGGCAGAGACTGCTCCACTCACAAGTTTGATATTCCCTTGCTACATACACCCATGAGGCATGTAAAATGCAAACTTTAGAGGAAATCAAACTCTGATAGTTTTAATTTAGGCAAAATAAGAGTCAAAGCCATTTCTAAATATCCAAGTATCTTGATAGATTTCTCTTTCTTCTCTAGCAGAGAAAAATAT